CTGTGGCGGGCTGGCATGTGGGGGCGGCCTCGGCTCCTGGAGCCGGGCAAGGGTGGGACCCAGCGCCGGGGCGATAAGGCCAGGAGACCCGGGCTTTGCCGGGGCGAGAGAGGGTGTGGGCGAAGCAGGGGCTCACCGCGCAGAGCAGGGTCCTGGCTTTGGGGCTCGGGCACTGTCCCTCCTGGCATGGCCTTGGGCTGTTTGTTCAACAGTCGCGTGTGCCAAGTGCCAAGCTCTGGGCAGGTGTTCTTGATAGGTAAGTTTCAAAGTCACGGAATGCCCCTAGCTGAGTGGTGAGGTCTCCACTTACCACTGGGGAAACCGCCCTCAGAGAAACGGAAGCCCCCATCTAGTGGAGAGAAGGAACGACCCGGGTTGGCCAGGGTGGGCCTGTGCTCTCAACTACCCGGCCTCACTGCCGCACGGGTGCCAAGTGACAACGTCCAGGGGCCTGGGTCTGCCTCTCCGCTGGGCAGAACACCATTCCCTCATGGGTGGCCGGATGGCCGTGAGGACTCGCCATTCCTAGTGCCTGGCTCTGCAGAGGAGCTTTAGAACAAAGTTCCCACCTGGTGATGACAGATTCGGGAGGTCATCCGAGGTCGAGTTCCTGCACCCGGCTTCCCGGCCTTCCCAGGCCGCCCTGACAGCCCCTCTCTGCCTCTCATCCCCGGCCCGCCCAGCGTGGACTCCATCATGCTGGTGGAAGAGGGCTTCAGTGTGACAAGTGTGGATGCTAGTGACAAGATGCTGAAGTACGCCCTGAAAGAGCGCTGGGACCGGCGGCACGAGCCTGCTTTCGACAAGTGGGGTATGCAGGTCCAGCAGGGCCCTCCCAGCCCCGCCACCAGGAACACCAACGTCTCTGCCCTGGTTACTTTAGGTGGTGAGGGGTGTGTGTTGTTCCCTTTGTTTTCCTCAAGGGAACAACAAAATTACAATCCTTTCCCCAAAAAAGAAGGCTTTGGCACCAGAGTGAGGTACTGGGTGTGAACAGCTAGTTTAAACTGCTCATAGCATCCCATCCCTTCCCGAAAACGAAAACCCGTGACCACGGTGCCCTCCTTCCCAACACAGCTCTTCCCTCCCTGGACCACTCTTCCCTCTTCACCCTCTGTGTCCATAAGGACCCCTCCCTCTAGGTGGATAGGAGTCTGTGTGTCTTGAACAAGACACTGAGGCAGGACCGTGCTGGGTGCAGGTGTGTGCTATGGTACCATGGTGCAACCCTGCTTCCTTTTCCCCTCCCCTGCCCCCAGTCATTGAAGAAGCCAACTGGATGACTCTGGACGAAGATGTGCCCCTGCCAGCAGGGGGTGGCTTCGATGCTGTCATCTGCCTTGGGAACAGTTTTGCCCACTTGCCAGACTGCAAAGGTGAGAGGGTGTGGCCTTGGACACGACCCTTGCCTTGAGCTGGATGCCTTTCCACAGCCCCAGGCACCTGCTCTCCTGCCCAAGTGGACTCTGCTTCTTGCCTCTCTTTGCCTTGGCGCTGGCTCTTCCAGAGAAGGGGGCGGTGGGAGGGCGCTTGGTGCTGAGGGCCCAGACAGAAACTCTGCCTCTGCCTGGAGTTCAGGGGACCAGAGCGAGCACCGGCTGGCGTTGAAGAACATCGCGAGCATGGTGCGGTCCGGGGGCCTGCTGGTCATCGATCATCGCAACTACGACCACATCCTCCACACGGGCTGCGCACCCCCGGGGAAGAACATCTACTATAAGGTGGGGCCCCCGGAGGGCGGATGGTCCAGAGCGGGAGGTGTGCGACGGGGGCTAACGCAGCCTGCACCACCACCCAGAGTGACCTGACCAAGGACATCACGACGTCAGTGCTGACGGTGAACAACAAAGCCCACATGGTGACCCTGGACTACACGGTACAGGTGCCAGGAGCTGGCCGGGATGGCGCTTCTGGCTTGAGGTACCACTTGGGTCCCCGGGGGTGAGGTGGCAGTGGGAGGAGCTGTGGCCACCAACCCTCACGGCCTGCCGGGGGCTCTGTTGCAGTAAGTTCCGGCTCTCCTACTACCCGCACTGTCTGGCATCCTTCACGGAGCTGCTCCGAGCTGCCTTCGGGGGCAAGTGCCAACACAGCGTCTTGGGAGACTTCAAGCCTTACAAGCCAGGCCAGGACTACATTCCCTGCTACTTCATCCATGTGCTCAAGAGGACAGACTGAGGGGGGCCTCAGCTCCGGCACCCTCTCCCAGGCGCTGCCAGACTCTGTCTGGGGAGGTGGGGATTGGTGCCCCCTCAAGCCCAGCCCTGAGCACAGACACTGGCGCTGTGGGCAGGGCAGACTACAGCTGGGGCACAGGGATGCAGGTTCAGGCAAACGGAACGGTAAACAATATAATCTGTGCCTTTTTCACTGCCGCATGCCTGGTATTTATTTGTCAAGAGCATCAAGCTCCAGCCCCCCACCCCCACCCCACCCCACCAAGGACTTACTCCTCACACAGTTGTGTTTCTCTACTCCCACCTTTGGCCACATCACCAGCAGGGGGCAGCACAGGCTTTCTTTGCAGCTACATAACTGGCTCTCTCTGGGCCCAATGCCCAGAACCCCACCAGGCCTGATTCTTGCCCTGAGCAGACCTGCCTTAGTTTCAGAGCTAGCCTGGAAAGAGGGCAGAGTAGTCAGGAAGTGCTCTTGAGCTCTTGTGGGGCCCCCGGAAGAGGAGCCTTTCTGTTCTGGCCTCTCTGGTACCCAGGCCATGCGGTGAGCCCCGGCTGTGGAGGCACCTAGCAGGCAGCGAACTTGCGCTGGATGCGCTTGTATCGCAGCAGGTCCTGCTCGCTGACCGAGGGCTGCAGCCGGGCAGCAGCCTGCAGCAGGTCCTCCATGGTGAGCGACAGAGTCGAGCTCCCTGGCTCCAGCCCTGGTGGAGACAGGGGGAAATAAGACCAGGTCCCCACCCTAGCTGGAGAATAAGGCTGTGGTCCATTCCAGGCAGGGCAGAGCCAGGGGGGAGGCATCTTCCTGTTCTGAGGCCCCAGAGAGACTCAGTCCCTCTGAAATCCAGAACCAGGACTGTCTTCCACGGGCTTTTGGGCTGACCTCTGGGGCTGAAGAGCAGCTCACCTTCCTCCAGGTCGTGAACCCTGCGTTTAAGGGCAGCCATCATGGCATCAGAGCAGAGAGAGTAGAGGTCTGCCCCGGTCAGCTGCGGGGGACAGCAGTCCAGCACGCTCACCAGGCTCACGGGGGGCTCTAGCTTGAATCTGTTGGTGGGGATTCAAGAAAGTTACAGCTGGCACCACCTCCCTGGGGTGAATGTGCTGGCCGCCTCATCCCGTATAGTGAATGTGTCCCCTAACCACCCCGAGGCCTGGGCCCCTGGAGCCTTCCTCTAACAGGGCATACTTGCGTGTGATGGCGCTCAGAACACGGAGTTGGGAGGCCCGGTCCTCACTCGCCCCCACAAACACCAGCTTGTCGAATCTTTAGGGAGATAGGCAGGTATAAGTGTCAGGGAGACCAGCCACGAGGGTGAAGGAGACAGAATGGGTGGGGAGAGCCCACGTGGGCCTGGTGGATGTGAGAGGTGCAGGATGCTCACCTGCCGGGCCGCAGCAGGGCGGGGTCCAGGAGGTCTGGTCTGTTGGTGGCTCCAATGACAAATACATCCTGAGTGCTGTGAAGCCCATCCAGCTCAGCCAGGAGCTGGGACACTACCCTGAGAGGACGCACAGGTGAGGGAGTCCTGGGTCTACCTGGAGACTCCGCCCCTGCTGTGCACCCCTCCCTGCAGGTGTCCGTTCTCAGTGCCCACACGTGGCTCCGTGGCCATTAGATTCCATTACTATCTCAGAACCAGAAAGGCAGGAACTCCTGCCTTGGGACCCTGGTCTGAAGACATCCCTCCCACGGTGGGCCCCACACCCCATTCCTATGTAGACCCCCACCTGTCCATCACTCCTCCAGAGTCTCCACTTCTCCCCCGGCTTGGAGCTAAGGAGTCCAGTTCATCGAAGAAGATGATGCATGGAGCGGCGGCCCTGGCCCTGGCAAACACTGAGGAAGAAGGGGCTCAGGAGGGGAAGCTCAGGGCCTTTGAGGTCAGGGGAGGTGGCAGGAACCCAACTTGTAGAAGGGAGGGCTGTAATGGCTATGTCGCTGGACTCCCACGTAGTCGACTGCGGTTCAAGTCCCAGATCCAGCAGCTTAAACTCACACCGGGCATGTGTGTGTGCCCAAGATCCCAAGAGGAGAATGGAGGAGAAGAAGGGGATTGCAGCGTGGTCATCCCCCCTGGGGGGTGATTTCTCGCATTCTGTCTCTCTGTCTCTCTCTGTCTTTCTGGCAAGCGCACGCGCCCTATAGCAAGCAAAAACCTCTCAAAAAAAAAAAAAAAAAAAAAAAAAAAGCAGGAGGGCTAGGAAGAACCACAGCAGCCTGGGGAGGGGCGTGACCCAGGGGCCAGAGGCGTTTGGAAAGGGCTGGAGGCTGTGCCCCTCCTCACTCACACACCTTCCCGCACGTTCTCCTCGCTCTGGCCCACGTACATATTGATGAGCTCGGGCCCCTTCACGCTGAGTGAGAAGAGGTGAGAGGGTGAGGCTCGTCAGCGGTGCATGCACAGTGCACCTCTCCCCCCACCTGCTACAGCACCCCAGCCCTTCCAGGCCCCCGACCACCTGAGGAAGGTAAGGCTGCACTCAGTGGCTACCGCCTTGGCCAGGAGGGTCTTGCCGGTACCAGGGGGCCCATGGAGCAGAAGGCCCGAGCGTCTCAGGCCCAAGCTCAGCAGCTCAGGGTGCTCCAGGGGGAGCTGAATGGTCTCCAGAATCTCCTTCTTCACCTCCTGCAGCCCGCCCACATCATGCCAGGACACTGAGGGGATCTAGGAGATGGAGAGCGTGCAGTCGGGGCTCTGAGGGTGGAGGGAGCTCCTGTTCCCCTTGAGGACCCTGGAGTCTCCACCTTGGGGGCGCCGATGGCCTGAGAGTGAGCTGTCTGCAGCTGCTCTAGTGCCTGCCCAAAGTCCTCAGCCAGGAGAGGAAAGCCAGCAGCGTGAAGCTCCTCCTCATCTTCCACGCTCAAGCTGCCAGCCACGCTGCAAAGAGAAACACAGGGCGGCTCCTCTGGGGGACCTGCGTCAGCCTTCCCATCAGGGCCCCATTCCCCTCTCCCTCCCTCCCCAGCCACCCCCACTTCCTCTTGCCCCCTTCCCCTCCCATGTCCCACTCGCCCTACCCCGAGTTCTTGACCCTGCTGCAGGCTGCTCGGCTGCTGTGGGTCAGAAGGGCATGGAGATCCCCTGCCACAAAGCCCTAGGGGGTCACAGGGAAGGGCACATGAGCAGGGACAGCAGGGGGGCTCTTGGGGGCTGGTCCCTTAGCTGGAGCAGAGGCTCAACGTCCATGCCTTGGGGATTTGGACCCTCACCCCCAGGGCAGCAGGACTGAGCTTCTGCGACAAAGGTCCTGGCCCTCCCAGGAGACCCAGTGCCCTGCCTGGATACTCACTGCACACCGCCGCGCCAGCTGTGCCAGGTTCACCTCTTGGCCCAGGGGCAGATGGGCAGTGAGGGCTCGCAGGATGCTGAGCCGCTGCCCCTCGGACAGCACAGGCACCTCCAGTTCATGCGGGAACGCCGTCTGCACGTCAGCGGGTAGGGCCTGGGCCCGGCTTGTGGTGGCCACGACCATCAGTGGAGGATGGCTGCGGGGCAGGGTGTGGGCGCTCAGGGCCAGATGTGGCTGGCAGTCCCCTGCTTGTCCTGAGGCTGGCACAGAAGGCCAGGTGCTGGGACGAGATAGGGACAGGGGCCCTCACCCCAGAGTCCCTGGATGGTGGTCATGGGAGGGATACCTTGAGGGGGGACCTGCATTTCCCCTCACGTGAGGAGCTCACCCAGGGTAGAGGCTGTGCTTTGTCTTCAACCTACCGTTCCCCCCAAATACCACACCACACCCTCTATCCTTTGGTGCCCCAAGACTGTCAGCGCAGGGCTGTCCACAGAGCAGCCAAGCAGGTGGCATGTGTCTGAGAAGCCACCGGGAGCTGTGAGGAAGAGAGCCTGAGGCCGAGGAGGGCCGGGCCTCGCCCACTGCCAGTCCACACTTTGTGTAAGTACCTGCTGAGGGGGTCCTCGCTGAGGAGCAGGTGGCGCAGTGTGGCCACCACACGGGCATCCTCACCCAGCCCGTCGCGGTCCTGGCCCAGAAGGTCCACGGCTGTCAGCAGCAGCACCACAGGGCGGCAGTGGCGGGCCTGGCAGAAGGCGGCCCGCAGCTTTGCCTCCACGGCCCCACTGCTGTCTGCACAGAGGCTGGAGCAGGGCACCTGGGGAGGGGTCCCGTAGGCCTGTGAGTGAGGGCAGGAAGTGGGGGAGGAGGAGTCGGGGCAGACGTAGGCCATCCAGTTCTTCGGAGGGCAGGATGGGGGACGAAGGGACCCTGGGCAACATCTACCTCTTTATCCCACTCCACTCCCTAGACCATCGCCAGCATCTCAAAAACCCCTCCTTCTTGAAAGCACCTCTCAGTAGCTGAGCATCATGGGAATGCACGTAGCCCGATGAGCTGACGTGTTAGGGCTCGCTGGTACACAGAGGGAGGGAGAGTCTGGGCAGTGGAGGGAAAGGAGCTGGGGTCTGTCCAGAGACCCTCACCTTCAGTAAGTGGAGCCCAAGGCGCCCACAGGCAGCAGTGACTGCTGTGGTCTTCCCACTGCCCGGGGGGCCCCGCAGAAGGACGCTGCTGGTTCCTGTCAGCAAGGCACCCCTGCAACCAGAGAACACGCGCTTGTCCCCTTCATTCTGCCCAAGCTATGGAGTCCCCAGTAACATAGGGATCTAGAAAGCAGACGCCTTGCCCAGCCCAGGGCTGTCTCACAGGCCAGGCCTTGTCCCCCATGCCACCCATGCTGCAGGGCACAGGGCATACCCAGCAGCCAGACGCTAGTCCCTCTTGTCCTCTCTGTACCTTTGAGAAAGTCTTCACTGGTATGCCTGGTCTGCACGGGACTGAGAGGTGAGAGAGAGGGATCTGTCTATACTCGGGTCACTGGTGTGTGGGCGCTTCCCCTTCAGGGCCAGGAAGGCCAGTGGGCTCCCCTACGGGTAGGGGAGTCTCAGAGACAGCTGCCCCTGGTGAAGATTCTTCTTCCACAGCCAACTTTGGAGGGCAAAGGTTTCCCCAGGAAAGGAGCTTGTGAATTTGCTTACACAAAGGAACGGGCTGGTGGCCTGGACCAAGCATACTGACTGGAGGACGGTCCTCTCCATCCCACCTTGGCCTGAGCACTAGGAAGTCGTGTCTGGCTGCGGCCCCTCGGGACGCTGTGAGCAGGCTTTCTCACATGCTGGGCTGGCGCCTCACTCACCCTGGCTGGAGGCGAGGCTTCAGGGCAGCGCAGAGCTCTGACACCACGGCCTCCAGGCCTGGAGGAGACAGGCCACTCCACAGAGTGGATTCTTCTGAAGGCAGCCACGGGACGAGGCTCAGGGTAGAGCCCACCTGTGCCAGGCAGGAGGGAGCTCTAGTTTCTGAAAACTGCTCCTTCCCCCTTTGCGACGTCTCCGCCCAGCCCTGGGCCTCACCATGTACAAGGACGTGTGGGTGCTGTCAGCCAGGTAGGCGCTGGCCGGCCCATCTGGAGCTTCCCCAACTGTTTTCTTCACTTTGAAAAACATCTCCCGCCACCTGCAGAAAAGAGGTCAAACGAACCTAGAAGCAGAGCCCAAAGGCCCCACCTCCCCAAAGACAAGGTTGCTTTCCCGGTTAAGAGGACAAGCTCAAGGGCAGCATAAATAAGTGCCCGGAGACATGGGAGGGGGTGGGAGGCCAGGGAGAAAGAAAAGCAGATGGTCTTTCTATCTCCCTGACTGGGCCATGTACCTTTTTCTTTTAAAGATTTTTTTTTTTTTTTTTGTCATTGGGCACATGTCAGAGAGAGACAGTGAGAGGAAAAGTGAGAAATCACTGCCCAAGGAGGATGCCATGTGGCAATTCTTTCTCTTCTCCAGATGGCCTGGTGTGATTTTCAAACCACTGGGTCCAGGACCATAATTGGTATGCCACCTGCTGGCCCCTAGACCATATACTTTTTTGTTTGAAAAGTCTATGCTATAGGGCGCGTATGCTCACCCGAAAGACAGAGACAGAGAGATAGAAAGCAGGAAATCACACCCCAGGGGGGATGGCCACGCCATAATCTCTTCTCCATTCTCCTCTTGGGATCTTGGGCACACATGCACATGTACCTGGCATGAGTTTAAGCCACCGGGTCCGGGACTCGAACCGCAGTCGACTACATGGGAGTCCAGCGACATAGCCATTATGCCAACTGCTGGTCCCTGGACCATATCCAATTTTTTTGTCTGTTTGTTTGTTTTGGAACGTTTTTGCTATAGGGCGCGTATGCTCACCCGAAAGACAGAGACAGAGAGATAGAAAGCAAGAAATCACACCCCAGGGGGGATGGCCATGCCATAATCTCTTCTCCATTCTCCTCTTGGGATCTTGGGCACACATGCACATGTACCTGGCATGAGTTTAAGCCACCGGGTCCAGGACTTGAACCGCGGTTGGCTACATGGGAGTTCAACAACATAGCCATTACGCTAACTGCTGGTCCCTGGACCATATCCATTTTGAGAGCAGACCCATACCTGTCCTTTGGCATCCCCCATGACAACCATTAGAGAGCCTTGGGGTTGTGTCTCCTGGCATGGGGCCTATCCACTGAGTGGGAGAAGCTTCAGGATATAGGCTCTCCCTTAAATACATACCCACCAAGGTCCCCCAACCTGAGGGCAGGCTCCCTTGGCTCTTATTCAATAATCCACAAAGTCTAATCATAGGCAGATTCCTTAATCATAATATCTAATGAAACCATTCTCTATTCTGGCTGGTCATTAGAATGATCTGTTCAATTTCACCAGGCACATGTGCGCATGCCCATGATGAGGCTGGGGGCAGAGTATAGCATGAAAACCCAGCTGGGAGTAACTCTCTCCTTCTGTGTGTCTCTCTCTTTTGTGGAAAAAAAAATTATCTGTGAACCTTTTTAAAAAATTAACATTTCTGAGGGCTGACAGGTGGCATGGTGCTTAAGGGGTGCTGGACTCCCACATGGCCAACTGCAGTTCAAGTCTCGAACCTGGCAGCTTGCTTTTTTTTTTTTTTTTGAGTCCAGTGACATAGCCATTACGCTAACTGTTGGTCCCATGGTGGCTTGCTTTTTCACTTCTCTTTCTCTCTCTCTCTGTCTCTCTCTGGTCAAAAAGAAATTAATTAATTACTTAAAGTTAAAGAAAATAATTATTTTAAAAAATGAACATTTCTGGGACCAGCAGTTAGCATAATGGCCATGTTGCTGGACTCCCACGTAGTTGACCATGGTTCGAGTCCTGAACCCAGCGGCTTAAACTCACACCGGGCGCGTGTGCATGCGTGCCCAAGCTCCCGAGAGGAGAACAGAGGAGAAGGGATTGCGGCGTGGCCATCCCCCTAGGGAGTGATTTCTCGCTTTCTGTCTCTCTGTCTCTCTCTCTGTCTTTCTGGTGAGCGCATGTGCCCTATAGCAGAAGCTTCTCCAAAAAAATAAAGATAAAAAATAAATGAACATTTCTGACATATTATGATTCTATTCAGTCTGCTAGTGGTTACGAAGGGCTGGTGGAGAGAAGGAATAAGGAATGGTAGAATGGATGGTTGTTTTTCAGGGTAATAACAATGTTCTAGGATGTGATATTAGTCGCACAGTCTTATGAATATAATAAAAGCCACTGAATTGTACATGGGGCCAGCCAGTGGTGTAGTGTCAAGGCACTGGACTCCACATGGTCCATTGTAATTTGAATCTTGGACCTACATCTTGAAATCACACTGGTGCATGTGCGTGTGTACCCAAAATGCTGAGAGGAAAATGGAGGAGAAGGGAATGTGGTGAGGCCACCCCCTCAGGGGGATAATTTCTCACTTTCACCCTCACTCTCTCTCGCTCTATCTCTTTCTGAAAAGTGCACGTGCCCTATGACAAAAAGAAAAACAAAATAAAAAGGTATATTGTATCCTGGGCCGGCCCCATGGTCTTCTGGTGAATAGAGCAGGATCCCACATGACCAACTGTGGTTCAAATCCTGGCCCCAGCAGTTTGAAAACATGTTGGGTATGTGTGCATGCCTGAAATCCAGACAGGACGGAGAAATGGAGAAGGTACTCTAATGGGACCACGCCCTCGTAAGGGGTGCTTTCTGTCTCTGTCTCTCTGGCAAATGCATAGGCCCTCTGGCAATAATATATTAAAAGTCTATTATATCTCAATTAAAAATGAACATCTCTCCTTTTTAAGGGGGAAAAGACTGCACAGCCCCAGCCTTTTCCTGATTCTGTTCCAATAGGTCTTGGATGGGTCCTGGGCATCTGAATTTGTTGAAGTCTCTCCCAGCAATTCTGATGCACACCCAGAGCCTGCAGTCACTGGCTAGTATCATAGTGAGTCAGGGTTATCCAACCCGCTAAAAGGGAACAGGGTAGGTAGCAGGTAGCAGGTATTATAGTAACTCAACTTTCCAGGTAAAGAAATTAGGACATCCAATAGGTCTTGGATGGGTCCTGGGCATCTGAATTTGTTGAAGTCTCTCCCAGCAATTCTGATGCACACCCAGAGCCTGCAGTCACTGGCTAGTATCATAGTGAGTCAGGGTTATCCAACCCGCTAAAAGGGAACAGGGTAGGTAGCAGGTAGCAGGTATTATAGTAACTCAACTTTCCAGGTAAAGAAATTAGGACATGGGAGGGACCAGCAGTTAGTGTAATGACTATGTCGCTGGACTCCCACGTAGTCGTCCGTGGTTCACGTCCTGGACCCGGTGGCTTAAAACTCACGCCGGGCGCGTGTGTGTGCGTGCCCAAGATCCCAAGAGAGGAGAACGGAGAAGGGATTGCAGTGTGGCCATCCCCTCGGGGGGTGACTTCTCACTTTCTGTCCTTCTCTCTCTGTTTGGCGAGCGCACACGCCCTATAGCAAAAACCTCTCAAAAAAAAGAAATTAGGACATGGGGACCAGCAGATGGTGTAATGGTTACATCGCTGGACTCCCACATAGCTGATCATGGTTCGAGTTCTGGACCCAGTGGCTTAAAACTCACGCCAGTTGCATGTGTGTGTGTGACCAAAATCCCAGGAGGAGAATGAAAGAGAAGGGATTGTGGTATGGCCCATCCCCCCCTCTGGGGGGAGGGGCATGTGATTTCTCACTTTCTGCCTCTCTCTGTCTCTGGGGCGAGCGTGCGCATCCCATGGCAGAAATCTCTAAAAAAAAATTAGGATATGTTTGTATCCTTGATTTGATTATTTTACACTGCATGTATGTTTAAAAATTTCTTTTTTTTTTGCCATAGGACGAGAGAGAGAGAGACAGAGGTAGATAGAGGGAAAGTAAAAAACCATCCCCCAGGGGGTCAGTCACACCACAATCCCTTCTCTATTCCCCTCTTGGGATTTTGGGCACACATGCACATGTACCTGGCATGAGTTTCAAGTTGCTGGTGTAGGACTTTAACCATGGTCAACCATCTGGGAATCCAGTACCTTAACCACTATACCACCTGCTGGTCCTATGTATATGCGTTTCTTTTTCTTTCTTTATTATTATTTTTTAAGTGAAATTTTTGCTACAGGGTGAGTGTGGTCATCAGAGAGACAGAGATAGATAGAAAGAGAGAAATCAACCCCCTGGGGGGATGGCCATGCCACAATTCCTTCTCCACTCTCCTCCCGGGATCTTGGGCATGCACATGCACACGGTACGTATTTTAAGCCACCGGGCCCTGGATTTGAACCATGGCCGACTATGTGGGAGTCCAGTAATGTAACCATAACGCCATCTGCTGGTCCCCATATATGCTTTTCTTTCTTTAGGATTACTTTTTATTTAACTTTCTTTATTATTATTAGTAGTAGTAGTAGTAGTTTACAGTTTGTTCAGAGAGTGACAGAGAGGGAAAATGAGAAAGCAAGCCACCAGCTCCGGGACTTGAACCATGATTGGCCATGTGGGAGTCAAGTGCCTTTAACCACCACGCCACCTGCCAGTCCCAGTCCCCCTATATGCTTTTAAAAAAGCACACTGTACCCTTCAAAGATACACAACAATTATATGTAAAACAGAAATTGTAATTTAAGAGAAAAGAAAGAAATGAGGAAATATTCTTTTCCATCAATAGGCAGCAGGGAATGACAGAGATGGACTATATACCAGGCCTATTTTTTTTTTTTTTTTTGGAGAGGTTTTTGCTATAGAGCACGTGTGCTCGCCAGACAGACAGAGACAGAGATAGAAAGCGAGAAATAATCCCCCCCCGGGAGGATGGTCATGCCACAATCCCTTCTCTTCCATTCTCCTCTCGGGATCTTGGGCACGCATGTACATGTGCCTGGTGTGAGTTTAAGCCACCGGGTCCAGGACTCGAACCACGGTCGACTACGTGGGAATCCAGCGACATAGCCATTACGCTAACCGCTGATCCCTATACTAGGTCTCTTTATGGTCCAATCAGGGTACAAACTCCTTTGCTCACATTGTCCCACAGTCTCAAAGCTGCTCTCTCCAGCAATAAAGCGGGGTGAGAGAACTCATGCGGGACGGAAGCATACCAGGTTGGCATTAGAAACCCCCCTCCCTCTTGTTTCTTGTAGTGTACCAGAGGGCACGTGTGTTCACTGGAGAGAGAAGGAAAAGTGAGAAATCATCCCCAAATGGCCACATTAGACTCCCTTCTCCTCCGTTCCCCTCAGGATGTTGGGCACACACGTATAGGCGACTAGCGTAATCTTCAAGCTACTGGGCACAGGACTTGGACCATGGAGTCAGCCACGTGGGATCTGGCTGCCTTAGCCTCTGTACCACCTGTCGGCCCAGCATTAGGAAACACATTATAGTTGGCAATGAGTGTGGTAAAGACAGCCTCCTACAGGGCTGGGACAGTGGAGGTCCAGGAACAGAACTAGCTTGCCATCTGTCCCAGGAGGGCCCAGTGCCTATTTCCCTTTAAATACACTAAGGGTGGGCATTCTGTAGTTTTCTTATAAAAGCCAGCTCACAGGCATTTGCTAAATGTAATGGGAGACAGAGGTGGGAAGTGACATAAATGTCAGCCTGACATTTCCCACCCAACCCTGGCTGTGGACTTACTCTGGGAAACCCCCAGAAAAGTGCCCTGGAATCTACACGTGGTTATCCAGGAACTGTCAAGGCCCTTCATCTGCATACCACCACCTGAAACTGGGGGTGATGGAACACTGGCCGGAACCAGGCTCTGGACATTGACCAAGGATGGACCTGGCACTCTAGATAAGACATGTGTCTCTTGGCAGAGGGCCCAGGCTGGCCAGGCAGAGACCTTGGCCATGCTGGCTCTTAGAGCTGGGCTAGCGCCTCTGTCAGTGGTGCTGTCCTTCAGACGCGCAGTTCAGAATGGAGGGACTGCCAGGGGTACAGGACCACACATTTCGCTCCCTCCCCTAAGGCCAAAGCGGTTCCTCAGTCCTTTGCCTCACCATTTTACAAGGAGCCTCTGTGGTTAGAGTCAACAGGAAAGCTGGACACCTGTGTTCCCTGCCTGGCTCAGTGATACTCTCTCATTCTCTGCTGAGGATAGGAGAAAGTGAGTCTCTCAAGGACAGCAGCAGGCTCTCTTGGTTTTCAGGGAGAGGATGGAGAAGCAGCAGGTGCATACTCCATCTGTTAGGGCAGAAATGACAGCCTAGGTACCCTTACACTGAAATAAGGGAGCTAGAGGCTCCTGGCCCAAGTGACACTGTGGCAGAGAATGGAAAAAGGAATCCCACCTTGGTCACAGCTAAGTTATTCCTTTTTTAAAATTTTTTGTTATTACTATTGTTATTTTTACCAGAAAGAGAAAGAGAGAGAAAAGGAAAATGAGAAAGCAAGCTGCCAGGTCCAGGACTCGAACTGTGGTCAGCCATGTGGAAGTCCAGCCCCTTCACCACTGCAACACCTGGTGGCCCCCAAGGCTGTTATTCTTATTGCTTTAGTTTACCTATGACCACCAGTCAGTTTAAAGATAAATACCTTCCAAAGCCAGCAGGAAATGGTTGGTTTGTTTTAGTCAAAAAGCACATGCACTTACCAGAGAGACAGAGGAGAGGAGGAGAAAATACCCCCAGTAGGGTGTGGTCACATCACAATCCCTTCTCCCTCATTTCTCTACCTGTCAGGATTTCGGGTGCACACACATGTGCCCAGTGTGTTTTTCAGGACATAATAGCTGGAATTTGAACCACAGGTCAGCCATATGGGATTTGGCCCCCTTAATCACTAGACCATGGATTGGTCCAGGTCTACTGGAACTTTTCTTTCTTTCTGTTTTTTTTTTTAGGTTTTTGCTATAGAACATGTGTGCTTGTTGGAGAAACAGAGAGAGAGACAGTAAGAGGGAAAGTGAAAAAAATTGCCTCCCCTCCCCCCCAGGGGAACGGCTGCAATCCCTTCTCCTTCTGGAATGGGCACACACATACAAACGCCCATTGTAATTTTCTTTTTTTTTTGGTATAGGGCATGTGCGCTCGCCAGAAAGACAGAGAGAGACAGAAGCGAGAAATCACCCCCGGGGGGATGGCCACGCGGCAATCCCTTCTCCTCCATTCTCCTCTCGGGATCTTGGGCACACATGCACACGTGCCCGGCATGAGTTTAAGCCGCTGGCTCCAGAACTTGAACCGCGATCGACTACATGGGAGTCCAGCGACATAGCCATTACTCTAACTGCTGGTCCCCCATTGTAATTTTCAAGCCAATAGGTCTAGGGCTCAAACTGCAGTCGGCCACGTGGGGGTTCAGCACCTTAACTACCATGCTGCCTGCTGGTCTCCAAGAAGTGGTTCTTAACCATTCTTCAGTCACACACCTGCTTAGGAATCTGAAGAAGGGATGGACCTTCTTTCCAGAAAAAATGTACATGACAGTAACAAAATAATCTTGGGTGTAAAATTAACACATCCAATAATCATATCCAAACGGAGAGAACAGGAACTCCTGCACCCAGGTTGTGAATCCCGTGGTAGGCTAAGAAGCAGCTGCATACCTGGGCAGTTTCTCTGGACTTCCTTCCAGGATCTCTACTTGCCCAACTGTTGGCACGCACAGAACATCCCCTTCCTGGACCACCCTGCAACACAGCAGTGCTCTGGTCAGCTCACAGTGGGAGCCGTGGCCATGCCTGACACAGCTCCCAGCCCCACCCCAACACACAGACTCCTTTTAGGGGTCTCCTGCCCATCCGGGGATCCTACACAGTTCTCCAAGGAACAAGTCAGGCCTAGAAGGATCTGGGAGAGATGGAGGAGACTAGAAAAGGGGATCAGAGGCCAGAGCAAGGGCTGAGTGAGATCCTGGTTCCTTTTTTTTTTTCTATAGGGCATGTGTACTTGCTAGAGACAGAGTAGGGAGCAGGGAGAGAAGGCACCCCCCTAAAGGAATGGCAACACCGCAATCCCTTCTCCTTCATGCTCCTCTTGGGATTTTGGGCATGTTCACACGCTTGCCCAAAGTATTTTTCAAGCTGCCACGTCCAGGACTCAAACCACACAGTCAGACATGTGGGATCTAGTCATCTTAGCCTCCATGCCATCTGCTGGGCTGATCCTGGATTTTTGGAAGTCCTCTTCAGTCAAAGAGGTTCTGTGGTGTAAAATGTCCAAATTCACCTCATGGTTCAGATTTTTTTTTTCTGTTATCTGACACAGCAAAACGTTTCTAGACACAATACCCCCTAAAACCTGGCTTCTTTAGACAGTGGCTCCAAGGCGCCTGGCTCTAAGGCACATGTAGGAAGAGAACGAGGAGGATGAGAAGGTGGCTAACCTGGGTGTCTGAAAGTGCCGGTAAAGAACAGGATCGTAATTCCCCTTAGTGCTGTAGTGGGGAGAGGACACGATTTCGATGTGTAGCTCTCTGGCAAACGGAGGCCCAGGCAGTGGAGAGCAGCTTCCGTTGTCTTCAGGAGTGCTGGAACCTTCCAAGTACCTCTAGTGGAGAAATAACACCGCCTTATGGCCTTCTTCCGGGGAGTTGGGCTCAGCCCTGTCTCTTAGCAGCCAATATGTCTACTTCCACGCTCTCTCCTTCCCACAAACACGAGGTTTGTCGGGACAGGGTTTCAGGGATCAGAGCGGACTCTGTTTCCCTAAAAAATGAAAACCTCTCCCGCTAATGGGCACCGGGAAGCGAAGTTGCCTGTCTCTGGCTCCAAGAACTTCTCCAGTAAAGGTAACCCTTCGGTGATACCTTAACTCAGCCCAGAGCCAGTGAAATGATAGACATTTATTCTCGCAAGTCCTCTGAGTGACACCAGGCAGCCACTGGAACTGATGATATTAAGTGGACACTGGTAGGAGACACTGAATTCAGGCTGAAGCTGATTTGGCGAAATGAGCTCTACTCTGAGAACTCCAGCATTCCCTCCATTCTTAGAGAAGCCTACATCTACTTCCAGCTGGATGTATCTTGTTGTTCTTCCTGACAGCCCATAGCGATAACTGGCTACTCCAGCATTCCAGTAGAACTTTCTGCAATGATGGAAATATTCTATCTACATGTGGCTAGTGAGCCATGAAATGTGGCTAACGCACCTGAAAAACCGAACTTTTTACTTTACTGAATTTTAATTCATTTAATGAGCCACAGAGCAGCTAGTGGCTTCCATACGGCATGGCACTAAATCATACATCTAGGTGCCTAATTAAATATTAGGCTGTATTTGTCTCCCACCCCCAAACACAATTTCTTGAAGCAAAGGCAGAAACCAAAAACTTCTCTTGGATGTCTTTAATAAAATAAAATAATAAAATTGAATACCAGGCACCGAAGATAATAAACAGCCCTTTCTTTCAAAGAATTTATAATATATAACTGGGGATTAGACAGATCATATAAGCACAGTAGGTCAGAAGAAAATAAATCTCATACGAAAGGTATAAAATGCAATAGGAGAGGGAACCAGCAGTTAGCGTAATGGCTATGTCGCTGGACTCCCACGTAGTCGACCGCGGTTCGTGTCCCGGACCCAGTGGCTTAAAACTCACGCCGGGCGCGTGTGCGTGCGTGCCCAAGATCCCGAGAGGAGAATGGAGGAGAAGGGATTGCGGCGTGACCATCCCCCCTGGGGGATGATTTCTCGCTTTCTGTCTCTATGTCTCTCTCTGTCTGTCTGGCGAGCGCACGCGCCCTACAGTGAAAATCTCTCAAAAAAAAAAAAAAAAAAAGCAATAGGAGGAAGAAGTCATGTTAAATTAGCGGCGGTGAGACCATGAAAGGCATCGTGATGACAGTGGCATCTTTAGCTGGGCCTTGAAGGAAAGGCTGCTAAGGTTTTAACAGAGGAGGTAGGAAGAACAGAAAGGGGTTTAAGATCAAGAATAAGCATGAGCAAGAGCACTGAAATAACACCTCCATACTAACCAGCACAACGCTGGATGGACTGTAGTAACTCAATGAACATCTCATTAGAATAAGCAGAGTCATATACACTGGCAATTTGATTGCGAACCTCACTTTTGACCTTCTCCTGCACTACTACACCACGGAGGTTTAAGATATTTTGGTTACAGGGGACCAGCAGTTAGCCTAGTGGCTATGTCGCTGGACTCCCACGTAGTCAACCCGGTTCGCCTCCCGGACTGGTGGCTTAAAACTCACGGCGAGCGCCTGTGCATGCGTGTCCAAGATCCCGAGAGTAGAATGGAGAAGGGATTGCGGCATGGCTATCCCCACTGGGGGGTGATTTCTCGCTTTCTGTCTCTCTGTCTCTGTCTGGCGAGCGCACGCGCCCTATAGCGAAAACCCCCTAAAAAAAAAAAAAAAAAAAAAAAAGAAAGGAAAAAAAGATATTTTGGTTACAGAAAAATTGATCGATAAAGTTAGACATTAAGTGAGAAATCTAAGACTGTAAAGGAGCACGGGATCTAAATTCTAGAGCTCTAGTCTTCCAGTTCAGTTCAAAGAAGAGAGCGTAAGCAAGAGGAAGCATTCCTAACCTCAGTCCTGTATCCTACCTGAATTCTGAGCTCTCCCACTTCCAGGGGGTCACAGCCGAGATTAAAAGCCAGGGTGGCAGGCACCAGCGCCAGTCCGTCAGCGAGGGGCTCTTCCAGCTGTCCAGAGCTGGGTCCCAGCCTCTCAGAGAGGTCCCAGCGAGGCTCTAGGACCTGCACCCTGGCCAAGTGTGGCTGGGAAGTGTTTGATGACTCTCCGGCCCGGGCCACCCACACCCATTCGCCCTGGAAGAGGCCGAGGCCACGGAGACAGCTTCGGCTCACCCCCAGTGAATCTCCAGTTCCTCCTAGAACTCCTTGGAGTCGCCGGACCGTGCCGGAAACCGCGAAGGAGGACACCACGGGCGGGGGTGGGAGCCGGCTGCTGCCCCCAGGCTCTGGGCACACTCTGGCCCGCCCGCGAAGCTCAGTTACAGCCAGCCGCGTCCCGGGGCCCAGCAGCCCTTGCAACGCCGGCCTGGTCTCCAGCACCCGCGGTCCCGGCACCGGCAGGGTCTCTCCGCGCCTCACCAGCAGCGGCCCGACTCGCGGTCCGAGCCCGGGCCCCGGCGAAGTGCCAAGCAGCGCAGCTGCGGGGGCCCGGGCCCCTGCTCTCCGGCCCCCACGTCCGGCCCCTCCAAGGCCGCCACCAGCAGCGCCGGCCCTGCCGGGCCCTCGCTTGCAGGCCGCAGGGCCAGCACCAGGCCCAGCCCTGCCGCCGGCCATGGGCTCCCGGGTGGCAGCAGCACTGACAACGGGGGTGTCTCGGTCGGGAAGGGCTCCAGAACCCGTAGGACAGCTAGCGCCATGGTGACAAGGACCAACGAGAACTATAAAGGAGCGCAGCTTCCGGAGCCACCGAGCCAGACGACGAGCCGGTGCGAGCGCCGTTTCCGCTTCCGTCAGGGGAGGCGTGTACAGTGGGAGGGGCGTGGGTGCAGCGAGCATGCTCCGAGCGAGCGTGCGCTGGGCGGTGGAGGGATCCGACGGTGCCTCGATGGCAGTTACCATAACCACTGCGGATGCGTAGTCTACGCACGCGCCCTTTGAACCTGCGTTTACAAGGAGTTGCCTTTGCCTTCTTTATAACGTCCTCATTGCTATCGCGCCCGGTAGCATGTACTAACAATTTATTACCGATCAGTAAATAGTCAGCCTGCCCGGATCTTCTCAGTCCAGGCAGGGACCTCTCGGTGGAATGTGTAAGGAGTCCACTCCTCTGTGAAATTCCTTGAGTTTTTCTTGTAGAACTCTGGGCTCTGAGGTTTGGGGGTTGCAGGGAAGGTTGCAGGAGAGAGTGATAGGATTATGCAACTGCCTCAGATGTATTGGCTGCTGGCTGAAGTACTACATGTGATTCACGTAGCTCTGGAGTGCTTGGTGGGTGCTGCCACACCTGTTCCAACACATCCTACACAAAAACCCACGTTCCAGCGCTTCTCGTCCTGCTCATTGTCCTATTGATTTGACTCCCACCAAATTTGAATGGATGACAAAGCAGCTTCCCTCTTTCATCCCACCCTGCCTCCTCAACCTTGTCCCCCCCACCCTCACCTCGATCCTTGCAATCTGGAGACCCATTCACTGTTTCTGTCCTAGAGGAAGCAGGCAGCAGGGAGAAGTTAAAGTCTTCTGTCATGAGCACAGAGCCAACAGCCGCTTCCCTGTGCTTAAAACCCATCCTTGTCTCCAACCTCCGCTCTTATGTTCAAAACATTCAATAGCAGTAGGCCACATTTCCAACCACTAAAAATTATTTTCCAGCTGGCTTCATGGTCTGGTGGTTAAGGGAGCTAGATCCCACATGGCCAACCATACTGTTCAAATTCTGACCCCAATGGCTTGAAAAACATACCAGGTTCATGTGTCCCAGATCCCAATAGCATGGAGAGGGAGGAAAAGGGACTGTGGCATGACCATGCACAATGGGAGTGCTTTCTCTCTCTTCCTGACCACTCTCCCCTGGGGTAGGGGTGCTCTT